TCCCGTTTACTTACTAAAATAAAATGAATTAAAAGTTAAAGTAAAAATAAACTAAATCACCTCTCCTCTTATAATAAATATAATAAAACTCATTAATATATATTATAAATATAAAAATTATCATATCTTTTAAAAATTTTATGAATTGTGATTTTAATCCTATGAACTAATTATCTCTCTTTTTTATGAATGTAGTTTACCTATCATTTTTTATCATCTTATTTTTGTTCTTTATTTTTTTAATCCATTTCATTTAATCCTTAGCTTTTTAGTAACAAAACGGGACCTTTGTTTTCTAAGTATTATTATGCCAAATGAAATACTCTAAGTAAGTGGATTTATGCGACAAAATCAGGTAAAAATTCCATAATTGTGAGGGAGAGCACAGGCGATAGATTTCTCAATCGGTGATGGGTGGAAGGAAAATGAGATAACAAGTGTGATAGAAAGAGGACGTGAGAGGCTTCACATGGGGGCAGGCCTTCACGTCCTTTTGCAAGATTAGGATGTAATGCTAATATGTTCTTGTGTAGCCCCCTCTGCCTTAATGCATACATGTGTACTTCTTCGTTTTTTTTCATATGGCCACTAACTTGGATTAGGTAGAGCCACTAATTTAGTGGATCAAACTTATTCAAATTAAGTTTAAAATATTATATCTCATTAAAAAAGTTTATATAACTAAATTCAACCTCAACATTTTTTGGTCGGTTTTGGATGCTCCATTAGACTTGCCAAAATTATTTGCTTTACATATTACACAACCAAAAATTTTAGGGTTAGGCTTATTCGAGTCAGGCTCAATTCTGAGCTGAATTTATTCAAATAGGATTTAAAGTATCTACCTCCTTAAAAAAGCTTATATAGTTAAGCTCAACTCTAAATTTTTTAAGTGAGTTCGAGCTTAGTTCGAATTATAGTTTAGGGCTAGGTTTGAATATTATTAGTTGATCTAATTAGAAATAGTTTCGAATATTATTGGTTGATTTAATTAGAAATAGTTCTCCTAAAGATATTTTTAGGAAAAATTAATCTTTTAGTTTTCTAACTTTTAATTTACTTGTAACTCAATCCCTCAATTATGACTCGCCTATAACTCATTCCCTCAACTTTTAAACCACTTACAAATTAGTCCTAAACTTTTGTTAATTTTTTTATTAGCCTATATCTCACATCAATGAGCAAAAGGAGGGTATTTTAGAATAATATATGAGCATTTTTTTATCCCTCTCATTTGATAAGAAATTTTTTGAAAAATTAAAAAATAAGGACGAATTATAGGTGAATCAAGAGCTGAGGGACTGAGTCGCAGCAAGTTATAGTGAGGAATGAGGAGTGAGTTATAAAGGGATTGAGTTACAAGTGAGTTAAAGTGAGGATTAAAAGATTAATTTTTTTATTTTTTAACATTATTTATATGAACTTGAATTCAAACTCAAAACTTCATGCTTTAGTGATCATAGCCTATTCCATTAGGACAAATATTTGTCGATCCATGAGTGCTTCATATTTTGTTCATTGGTAATGGTAATGTACAATCTCTCAAGGCTTGTTTATTTTCTAGAAAATGAATGGAATTAAATGAATAAATTAAAAAATAAAGATAAAAATATAATGATTATATTTGGAAAAATGATAAATCAACCATGTTCATGTGATGGGTAATTTAACTTATGAGAGTAGGAAACATAATTTTAAAATTTGTGATGAGTGTAGTGATTCTCACATTTCAGATATGTGGTATCAAATTTTTTTTTTATCTTGAGAGATTGAATAAGTTAGCTTTATTTTTTTTTTTTAGTTTTTTTATTTTTTTAGTTTATTCCATTCTAGCAGGAAAATCCTTATATTTCATACATACATGCATATATTATGTATTTCACATAATAAATAATAGTTTGTATGTTGCTTTTGCAATTGCACTATCATTTCCTCTACTGGAACAGAAAAAGGATCATCGGCTCTCATGCTGTGTGATGTTGGAACTGCAGCCCCTAATTGGGACAGTCTATATTTCATATCATTTTACTATTATATTGATATTAATATATTAATGTCGATAATATTTTTTAAAAAAATTTCGTAATTGTAGAATTTAAAATAAAGATTCATGTACTGAAAAGTTAAAATAAAGATCATCTTTTAACTATGATAAAAAAAAAAGAGGTTTTAAGCATAACTTTTTTTCTTAAAAAAATAAATTATGGTTTAGAAAATTACATATTTAAAAAATTTAATTTTTTTTGATCATTTGAATTTGATTGAGTATATGAGATCAGTATCTAATGATGTATATATATTTTCTCTTTATCTAAAACAACAGATCTATGTTGTTTATATATATATATATATATAAAAGAAATATCACATAAAATAAAAATAATAATTTGATTTACTTTAAAATAAATAATTTTAGAATAAAATCAATAATTATATAGTATTTTATTCTCACTTGATACCAGCTTCCTACGCATTTAAAATTTTTGTACTTATTGATTAATAATTAATTAATAAGAGGGAAAGAATTGTGAACAATGCTCTGTTCGTTAATACCAAGAAGTTAAATTAATTAATTAATTAATGTTTAACCTGCAAAAAAGCTTAAGTTCAAACTAATACAACAATAATAACCACTCTTCGGGCTTCGAGGACTAAGACTGATTAAAAGTAGGTGGCGCGAAATCTACTGTCCCCACAGTACTACTTCCCTCGTTTTCCAACTGAAACCGTTTCCTTTATACTCTTTCAAAATATTATTATTTTTTATTTTTCTTAATTAAAGTTTTTTAGGAGCAAGAAATCATCATTTTTTCCGTCTTTTTAATTCTCTTGCTTTCTCCTTCCCTCTCTCTGCTTCAAAATTAGAAATTATACGTCTCACCGGGAAATTTTGACCTCCGACGACCGCCTGATTTTGTTCTGTCAATCTCCAGCGACCTGTTTTGTAAGATCCACGCTGTGCTTCTCATTCGATATTGGAAGTGTTTGAGGGTTCTGGATTCTCTCTTTTGGCTTTGGAGGACCACGGAAGGAATTATTCCCGGTTTACTTAGGGTTCACGGATTGATTGTTGCTGCGTTGTGATTAATCTAGAGGTCTGAGTATAGAGTAGCTCTCATCTGATTGGAATTTGTGTTGTTCAATGGTAAGCTCAGGTTTTTAATGATTGGATCAATTTTGTGTTGATTAAGTTTCCTTTTGTGATTTTCTCTGTTCGATCTGGATCGCTTTATTTGATATTACATTAATGCGCAAATGTCTTCAGGTCTCGTTTCTGATCAAATTTTCTGCTGAACAAATGCTTGATATTTTTGGGTTGATTGAGAATGCAGAAAGATTGATTTTTTACTTTCACTAAGAGGATCTTTTTTTTTTTTTCAATAATCAGAACAAGTTCTTAATTTCTAATTTGATTTCTTCGTTGAACAAGAGTTTCTGAATCAGATTCAATGAACTTGACAATGTAATTTGCACTGGAGCTGGAGTTTTCTTATAAAGATATATTACGCGAACAGTTAAACACTGAACGTGTCTCCAGTGAGACAGACACGAACCTGTCAATCCAGACAGACGTCATGGATCCCTTTTTCAGACCCTTGTTTCTTTTTTAAAAAAACCTTCAGGGAAAAAAGTTTTCTGGATTTCATCAATACTTGTTCATCGTAATAATATGTACTATAATTCGGAGTGGTCAAGACGAAATATTTTGTCTTATTTTGCTGGAATCGACCTCTCTGTATTGATTACTGCTTTTTATTTTGCTAATAATATTAGGTTTGAACAATTGGTTCAAGGGGGATGGACAATCATCGCCTCAGCACGTGGTCCTCCATGTCTTTATCCATCTCCCCGAGAACATGAGCACCTGCGAGCTCAACTGATTAAGAAATATGTTATTGTGCTTACGAACAAAAGACAATTTTTTACAGATCCGATTGAGAGTTCAGTCTGGGAAATTTAGAAGATGAAACTCATAAAACAGTTACTACGGTAAATGTGTGGTTTATCTTTGTATGGTAAACTTATCGATCTGTTAGCTTAGCTGAGTATATTTATTCTGGGAAGGAGGGGATAGTGTTTTGCGATAAATGCTTTTTCTTTTGCCTCTGCAAGTTTCGGTATCACTTTCATTGAATTCCCTTTCATGAAAAGGAGTTGAGAGAGAAGAAGAAACAGGACAGGGTGGGCTTTTGCGGAGTGAACCCATTGCCAGCCCACCTGACCATGGCACTCTCGTGAGAGGGACAAAAGAGGAAAAATCAGTGGCTCCCTTACTCTACCCACTTTTCCTTTCTTATCCTACGCCCCAGTAACCCCAGTTTTTAAGGGTACCCCTGCACTGGAATTTTCAGTTAACCATCACTAACGTCTGATGATAATCATTTAAAGCACGTCGAGACAGTTTCCGCGAGTTTCTCGGTCCCATTAAACCAAATGCTGTATACCTTCTCTATATTCTTCTTGCATTGGCCTGGTCCGGTCGGGTTCGAGTTTTATTTGATGAGTAAAACGTACCCACTTGCGTTAATTCGGTGCAATTCTCAAGTTGGTTCTCCAATAGATCTGAGTAACTGTAAAAATGAGCACTTTTTCGATTTTCTTTTTCCCTTCGAATGGTTTTGTTGTTCGCTGCTTTTTCTTTCTTCATTTTCCCCACTGGACACAATCTTACTTGTTTATCTGTCTGTGGCAGATTTACTGCAGAGAAAAGGATCTTCTGTCTGAATAATTGGTGCCGCTCGCACAGAATGTGGGATAAATGATTGCTAAGGCTGTTATAGTTTTATAACAAATCTATCAATGTGGTCTAGTTTGGATAGAGTGGATGGATGTATGTGAATCAGAGCAAGCATTACGGAAACAAACAGCTGAGGAGACTCGTAGACCACCCTTGGTTGCCACCGGAAGAAAAATGAAATCATCACCACCCGGCGCCCTCAAACAAGGGACATTAGTTCTAGGTATAAATCACCTTCTCGGGCAATACCATCTAGTCCCAAGCGATGCTCATCTCCGACCCCACTAGAACAATCCCCACTTCCTCCAACTTGTTACCCAAGAGAGCTCAATCGGTGGAAAGGAACCGGCCTTCAGCTCCTTCCTCACCAAGACCTTCTACACCGGTCCGTGATTCATCTGTGGATGTGCACTTACCATCCAGAAGGATAACAGGAGGTCGTTTGCAGGAGAGTTTATGGCCTTCAACAATGCGAAGCTTAAGCGTTTCTTTCCAATCAGATGGCATTTCTGCACCCGTTAGCAAGAAAGAGAAGCCAAATACTAGCACTTTTGATCGCACGCTGCGGCCGACTTCAAATGTGGCTCACAAGCCAGCTGAACCTCCAACTGCACGTAAGCCAACGCCAGAGAGAATCCGTAGTCCTCTGAAAGGGAAGAATACAGCCGATCACTCAGAGAATTCAAAACCAGTTGATGGCTTGCATTCTCGTTTGATTGATCAGCATCGGTGGCCAAGTAGTATAGGTGGGAAGGTGTCTTCTAACACAACAAATCGGAGTGTCGATCTTGCTGATAAGTCAATCAGAACTTTGAATTCTTCGGTTCCTAGAACTGCTATGTCTTCACTGAGAAGGTTGTCTTCATTGGACGAAGCAAGTAAACCCGTGCAAAAGTCCACAAGTGATATTGCAAGTAATGTATCAATGGTTGAAAGTGGTAGTAGAACAGGAAACGAGGTAAAACCAGTTAATGATAATTTGCCACTGGTATTAAGACCTCTGAAATTTGTTTCTGCCAGTCAATCTGATAAAATAGCACCAACAACTCCCTCTGCAAGATCTCAGTCCTTGCCAACTCCAAGATCACGCCTGTCCTCCCCTAGTAAAACCTCACTTCTATCTTCACCTTCACCCAGTGCAAGAGGCATCAGTCCATCTCGGTCCCGGCCATCAACCCCTCTTAGTCCCTCTCGAATAAGGTCAACCAATTTATCCAGTCAATCCAACAGTTCAATTTCGGTGCTTAGTTTTATTGCTGATTTTAGAAAAGGAAAAAGGAGCACAACCCACATAGATGATGCTCACCAATTGCGACTTCTCTACAACCGACATTTTCAATGGAGATTTGTTAATGCAAGAGCCGAGGATGTGCTTTCTGTACAAAACTGCAGCTGCAGAGGTATGACCTTCTATCTTTGATAGCCTTTCAGCAACACATCAAATCATTGCTAAATAATTTTTACCAGATTTTATTCAATTGTGCAGAGAGTTCTGTTTAATGTGTGGAAAGCTACTTTGTCTCTATGGGATTCAGTTATTAGGAAGAGGATCAATCTCCACCAGCTGAAACTTGAGCTTAAGCTAAACTCAATTCGAATGATCAAGTAATCCCTATCCCTTTACTGAAATTTGTCCTTTTACATTCCATGTTCTATTGCTGATGGCACATTGTATTCCTTTATGTTTTCTTTATATATTGATAAATTATATGTTTATGCTAGTTTATGATTTATAAGCAAATAACTGTACGGCTCCAGTTGTTCCCTTTGGAGCTGCAGAAGAATGGGATTTTATATTTATTATACATATATATATATATATATATATTTCTAGTTCTGGAGTGGTCAAGTATTTTGATCCAAATAATGATATTTTGAACATGAAATCACCTATAAAGCTGAGGTTCTAATTTTAGTTCTTATGGGCGTGATTCTCTTTAAGTGTGGTTTTTTTTCTACAATGACTGAAACAGATTGCCTACCATAGATGATTGGGCTTTACTGGAGAGAGATCACGTAAATGCTATCTGGGGCTATTGAAGACTTGGAGGCAAACACTCTCCGCCTTCCTGTAACTGGAAGGGCGAAGGTATGTATGTTTGTAGTTTTGAAATGTCTTTAAATTCATACCTGGAAAGAGACAGTATCGTCATTACTGTGATTATACTACTACAGGCAGATATGGAACATTTAAAGGTTGCTATCAGCTCAGCTGTTGATGTCATGCAAGCAATGGGATCTACTATCTGCTCCTTGTCTCTAGGGTGAGTTAAAGTTTGTGCAACTCTACTAAATTTGAATTTTGAATTTACGAATAATTGAGATTGATATAAAGCTGTCCTATTATTTTCATTTTTCACCAATCATTTTTCTATCATGACATTTTGAAGGATAATGTATTTACTGCTACTAAACTCATTTCTTGCTCAATCCAAGCATGTCTTTTGTATGCTTTTGATTCCCAAATACAATTTCGAAATTACCATTGGTAAAAAGGGATTTGGTATCCATTTGTCTTTTTTTGTTCCCCATATCAAATGCAATTTCCTGGTGTTGACAATAAGTTTTGTGTATAGGTGGAAGGCATGAACCTTTTGGTTTTGAACTTGCTGTTGTAGCAGCACAGGAGAAGCCATGCTTGATGAATGTGAAGCACTACTGGCTTCAGCAGCAGCTATGCAGGTTAAATATCCATACAGAACATGAATTATAGACGCAAAAATACAATTTTTAGTACATTCCCAGCTATCAGTGTCTTAGAAAAATATTTCTTATTCACGTACTTCAACAGCAAACAACTGTACACGCCAATGTGCTTCTCTAGAAACGTAAAAAACCTGGATTGATAGCAGCCCAGTTTTTTATTCTACATTTGATGCTTTCGACATGCTGGTGCCTCTTGTTTTTTATTGTCCATCTAGACATGTCTTCGAAATGGTTTACAAGCACAGGTTAGAGACACTGGGAAGAGTGATGTGCTTCCCTTTTTTTGATCTATTCTTCCTCCTCCTTGATATGAACTTTAATATCTCCTAACAGCAGCAAAGCATCATGAAGTTTTGTCACCTTTTCTACTCTGATATCTAATTTTTGGAAATTGTATAAAAATTAAAATTGAAATATCTGACAATAGTTAAAATTTATAAAACATGATAGTGAGTTAGTTGAACTCAAGAAAAGTTTGATTATAAAGCCATACAAGACATGTTATGACCTACATGACATTATTAGTTGGGATACTTTTCTGAAGTAGAATGTGACGTACGTAATTGTGGGTTACAATTTTCTGGCATTGTACCTCTCCCTTTTCTCGGTTACGGATAATGGTAGATAAGTAAAGCCTAGCCATATAAACATCTCTATCCTGACAGGATATTTCTAATATATACTGCTGGTAGATTGGGTTAAGGTTCTATGAACTGAGAAGGAAATATTGATGTCTCTGGTATGAGTTTATACAACTGAATATTTGGAGCGTTGGAGGGATTTGTCCTGGTCTGACATACCCCTCCCCTCTTTTACCTTTGAGGATATTAATTTTAGAAGAAAATAATTGCTAGCAAGCATGATTAGGAAAAAGTCTAAATGAGTTTATCCTGGCCTGGGAATGGATCAAAAGGCATTTCATTGTTTCTTGCTTCATCGCCTCGAAGTTTTTGCACTTTCTTCATGCCTATGCATAGGGGATTACTTCAATCAATGTCAAGCATAAAATATGTCTTTATTTCATATCATTTATCTTCGAATTGTGTGCCATTGTTTCTCGTAAGACAAGAAGTCAGGACATCAACTTTTTACTTGTTTACCCTTTGTTCCATTCACAATTTCTTAGTTCACGATAAGTTATTATTTATCGAGTAGGAATGCAGTACTTCCATCTTTATCAGTTGGCTTCACGTTGCATATCAGTTTACTATACTAGCTTAATTGTTTTAGTCTTGATTAATGTAGGCTAGTTGGGTTGAGCTTTGGGCAAGCTCGTGAGCTTTATCTTATATCTTATTGACTGTGATGTTTAGATCCTGGGGCTATTTCATAACTTTTACCATCGGTACAAATTTTGAGATACTTGGTGCTCTAAGGGGGGAGCATCTTGTGTTTGATCATAGTACGTCTATGTAAGATTATTCAGCGTGCTTGATGCCTTTATTGAATGTAACGCATTGCTTTCTGATCACAGTGCCATTCTTCTTTCTCATCTAAGTTTCCAAGCACCTTTTTTGCAAAAAAAACAGGGTAGGGGATAATAGCCTTCGGACGCATCTCATGCAAATCAAGCAAGCTTTGGGGAATGAGCATAGATGACTAGCCAATCTTGAACATTGAAAAAAGCTTTGTACCTGACCTGCTGCTTGCTAACAACAACATATACTTCCTGCTGTCTCTTCGTCAGCCCAGAGAATGATAGTCAGCCTGTGTCCTGTAAAGTTTTTTAGATCCTTTTTTGCATTGGAATATATATTTTGTTTTATCCAAAAAAAAAAAAACACTTCACTATATCAGTGGCCTGTTTTTTTCACTTGTAATTTATATTAGGCAAATGAAAACGAAGATGCAAAGGAGCAAACTGTTGAATTTAGTTAGAAGAGTTTAAAAGTTACAATGCAAAAGAAAAATTTTACAGAACCGGGGCGCCTTCCATGAGCTTCTTTTGCAATGGTTTGTTTAGTTATGTAATTTCCCTTCTTACTTTTAACCTTTCGCTAAAAAAAGGTTGAAACTCTACTAGAATGACATAAAATTAAAGAACCTGACTTAAATACAGTCACAAGAGTATGTGAAAAGATTACAGATTTAATTGATTGTAAAACTATATTTGTCACATTCTAATTGAAGAATTCAATTTTTCTATTTAGAACAAATTTTATGGAGAACTAAAGGATTCAATAATAATAAAGATACCACAAAAAAAAATGTGAAATAGCAATATTTATTTCTCTATAAAATGGCAAATTAGCAAAGAATATTAATGATTTCATAACTTACCTTAAAATTAATGAGGCATAATCAATTCATCCCTAACCAGAGAAACGGCGAGACATTTATATTTATCTAAAATGAGAAAATTAATGAGATGTTACGACTGGTAATGAAACCAGTGAAGAATTTTTTATGTATCTTTAAAAAGAAATAATTAGTAAAAAAAATAATGAATAGATTTTTTATACATCTTTAAAATAAAATAATTAGCAAATAAAATACTTTGTGAGAAAAATAACAATCTATATATATATATTTCTTTTGCATCTTTAATTAATTAACACAAGATTTGCATTTTCCTCTTTCTTTTTTGGGAGTGTTTGATGGCAACTTATTCGTTCTTTTTTTTTTTAGGAAGTATGTGAATGAGGGTGCCAAAAATTGATCATCAAGGAATAATAAGTTATCAGGCATGCCAGAAACGCTGATTCTCAATTAATAACAAAAAAGTCCTTGGGCTCTCTTACCATAATTTACCCGAATGTAAAAGATATGTAAGTTTTGGTAAAATAAGTGTTTGATTATTATTAAAACATAAGTCGATTACAAGTCTAAGCTGAAAATAAAACTAATTGATAAATTTAAAAATTATGGGTGCAAAATGCGAGTCTTTTGAGTGTTGACTATTGTCTTCTTTTGCACTTTGGTACTCTATTATAGTGACAGAGTGATAGTAGCCTTTCTCTTAAAACCTAGAATGTTCTTTCAAAGGTAGCCTCTCCTTTCACTCATTGTCTTCATTGTCTTCCATTTTGGTAACTAACCCATCTCATCGAGAGACTTGGGCACAATGATGTGTCCTACGAGATCCGAAATCGTTTGAGATCATGTCTTTATGTACCAACAGTCCACAGAGTGAGTTTGCAATTGGCGGGATTTTGGCATACTCATTTGGCCTTGGCTTTCTGTTGAGCTCGAAGCTAGCCTTTTTGTTCAAATTGTTGATTAAGCCTGACTTTTCAGTCATTTAGCCTATATAGCTTTATGACCTAGCTAATATTTTGGTGAGCGACGTTTTATATTTAACCCAAATAGACCGATATGCAATGGTAAACTCTTGTCATTTTTGTTATGGTTATTGTTGTTTTCCCCTTTTTTCTGCTTTATTCTTGAAGTTTTCAATGTATGTTTTTTAACTTGTAGATAAAAATGCATTGTGATGAAGTAAATATTGCCTTCAATAAAAACTTTTCCTCTTTTGCATTCTATAATGGGAAAGACAATTTTGATTTTGTCACTTTAGATATTGTGGGATTGGATTGTTTTTAGGCTTCTTCTCTATGGTTTGTTCCTAGCTTTTTTTAAGAGAGTTCATCTCTCCAAAAATCGAAGATTGGCATGCTTTGTTACGTATTTGATTTTCGAGTTTTTACTTACTTTAAGTGGTTTTTTCTCTCTTCCTTTATTTCTTCTCAGTATTTTTCTTCTTAATAAAATTTATTTTGCAAACTATACTTGATGTTAATATTTTTTGTTTTTTCAGGACATGAATTCATGGAGATATCATTCAGGTATAAATTGTTGTAGCATGGAATTGGGAAGTTTAGAGTAGCAAGGAATTGAGCAACAAGCTTGGAACCATTCAGGTATAAATTATGGGTTAAGGTGCCTTTTTATTCCTAAATTTTTTCTCGAGAAATAATTTTACCTATAAACTATTTTTCTAGTAGCAAAAAAAAAACCTCAGAAACATAATTTAAGAATAAAATTACCCCACTTATTAGTATAAGAATAAAATTATTTTTTGAGAAAAAAGTTCAAGGGTAAAAATACACCTTAACTCATAAATTATTTTTGTAGCTTCTTTAACTAATTTATATCTAAATTTTGGATTCAGCATATAAATTACTATAGTTAAATGTTTTGGTTAGATCCTATAATGAGAAGTTTTCTTGAAGATTTTGGGAGTAACAAGTGAGAATTATTTGTAGTTGAAGTTGATAACTAGATGTGTTCATGTAATAGAAAATTTATGAATTCCCATAGTGGATTATAAAATATTTTAGAAACTATAAAAGTTATTTGTGGAGAGTAATGATACATGAACAAAGAAAGTTTTTCTTGGTTCCTTAATAATAAAAGATAAGAGAAAGAAATTTCGAGTGATGTGGCATAGAATCAACTATGTAGTGTAATAATATCGGATTTATTTCCAATCAAGTAGTGTGATTGGTGGAGAGGATTAAATATGGTTGTATCCAGAAAGGGATACTTATATTTAAGAGGAAATGGCATGTGTGTGCGTGTGGATATTACGAAACTAAAATTATATTAGGTGAAATTAGCATAAACAAGTTAAAGAA